CGCCGATCGATATTTAGCAGAACACCCAYTCTCGTTTATTKTACTATAAACAGGACGGTGCGGGGGTAGTGCCACATATATATCAAATGTTTTTATAACGCAAGAAAAGAGAGGCAATAAGACTTTGCAAGTTTCACACACACACGCGCGCGCGCGCGCGCGACACGCATACACTCAATTCGTGTCGCTGATTCTGTCTGATAAACTTATTATCTATGTCAGTGTCAGCTTTAGATCATTTAATGTCGTTACCGACCGATCGAGTTGATGTTATTACGATAATAATAATACGTGCATATTGTAAGGAAAATAATAATAATTCTACGGTCGACGTAATGTGACGTGATGATGCAGAAAGATTTTGAACGGCAACGCGTACAAAATATATGTTGACATATATCGTATAAAATGCTCACGATGATTTTACCCGCGCGCGTGTGGTGGGGTGGGCGCGATGGGGTATGACGGGTGGGAAATCATTACTTCGGTGTAGGAAGAGCTGCAGAGAGTGAAGTGTTGTGTTATTACCGTAACGGTCGTCTCCTATTGCGAGGTGCGAAAGTCTCCAGACCTCATCTGTGATCGTTGCAGGTGGTTTGTGTTTTAGTCAAAACGAAATTATAAAAACTAAAAACGATACGAAATCCTCTGCCTCCTCCTGGGAAATCAATCTCTCGATGCACGGCGAGCGCRCCGTATAATAATACATCATTATAATAATTATCTGTACCTAGTAGGTAGGTATATACGTAATAATGATGACGAACACGAATAACGAAATGAGAAMAAATTCGTACAACAAAATTACAATATTATAATATCATATGATACGATAATTATTGTATCATTATTACTATCATCTAATCGCCGTTCGACGTTTGTAGGATCGACACGACTAATTTTCGCGCACCGCACGCAAACTATAATATTATATAGTACATGGGGGGGAGGAGGGGTACCTATAATACTGCAGCGGTGACTGTTGAGCGATGAGGGGCGGTCACAGTGGCCATCGACCACCACGACTGCTGCAAAAGTCGACGGGGAGCGTGGCCGGGGCGAAACGGGTTCTACTGCTACTGCTGCTGCGGCTGCTGTTGCTGCTGCTGCTGAGGAGAAGGAGGAGCAGGACTCTGGCAGTGTGCGCGGTGCTCATCGCGGTCTTGGCAGCGGCGGTGGTGGTG